GCGCCTTGAAGTCTTCACAAACAGCCCCCCTGCATCTCGGTGGCTGGCGTTTCGGCAGAGCCCTGCAGCCTGTTGGGGGGTCGCAGCATCTTTTTGCCGGGTACTGTACACAGACACCATGATTCCCCAAAGCCTGGAGGGTTTCTGTTCATGTATTGATGAGAAGGAGAAAGTCAAACAAAAGCTACAGCTTAAATTTTGTGGACAACACCTGGAGCTTCCATGATCTCTTTTTTCCCCATCTCTATGTTTTCTTTCTACCTTCCTTGCACCACGTACACAGAGTCGTTTCTCTTTCATTCTCCCGAGACGTGTACAATGCATTAGCCTGTTGAAGCAGCTCAATAATCATGTGTGACCTGCACGTCTGTTAATTAGAATTTTTATATTTGTTATATTTGTAGAAGTTTTTGCATGAAACCATGTCCAGAGGACAGTGGCGCAGGCACGTAGAGACGTTAGCAGCACCCCAGCGTTCCTCTGGCTCCCACTTGGTGATTTTGGGTAGCCAAACAGATAGGATGATGTTGCTGCTGGTTTTCTTGAAATACTGCTATAAACCCTTCACAGGTACTGCTTAAGGGACGTGAGTTGTACTCGCTTTCCCCTACACTCCCCTCCCAACCAGGCTTTCTCATGATTTGGCAGGGACCGGTTTTGTCTGCTGAAACAAACATTTTTTTAACAATAGTATTTTTCCTGATGTGGAACCTTACCTGCTGAGAATGAGACTGGATATCAGAGCCATGTACGTGTACGTAGTCTATACCTTATAGTGTTCTTTTGCATTCTTGCTGCCCCTTTCCCATGGAAGAAGCCATCGCCGTGGTGATGGACAATGCGCTTTCCAGCCGGAATAGCAGCGGTGTGTTGCCGAGGGCGATGCTCTTCTCTCTTGCGTGGTTTTTAGGAGTAAAGGGTGAGGTTTTTGAGACTGAAAGACAGAATGTTGAACACAGAGCAAGGCAGTGAAGAAATCCTTAAAGGAGGACAGCATTTGGGGAGGAGCACTGGTTTTTCCAGGGTGGGATGAAGTGGTGAGGGAGGGGTAGAGTCTGCTGAGCCACGCGTCCCCAAGAAGCCGACGGGATCTCTGACTTCAGCGTAAAATTCATCCTGGTTGGTGTATGAGGCAGCAGCAACAAGAAGGGGAGATGTCTATTCCTTCTTGTGTTCTTTATTCGTGCAAAGGGCTGGAGCTGTTTTCCAAAGGAAAGGTGTATCTTGGGAAGCCCAAAGGGATGCTGTGGTCACTCCTGGCTTTGTACCCGGGTGGACTTCTTGGGGTCTGCCGGTGGAAAATCTGTTCTACCTTTGCTTGCCACTTCACACATTGATTTTCCCTTCCATTTCTGAAGCAGTGACATTGTGCACTGTATTTCGAGTGCTAATGTTGATTGAAGTTCTCCCTGAAAGGATGTGCACTTGAACTGTCAAGAGAGTGAGTGATTGACAGCGGGTAGAAGTACTTTTTGTGTCAAGGCTTTGTCAAGTCATTGTTGTCAAACCTACTTTACTGAATACCAATAATTCCTGCTAGATGTTCCATCGAAAGATACTCTGTTCCAGCACCATTTTAGAATAATATTTAATACTTAAGAGTCCTCCCGCAATAGGCAGGTGTAAGGGAAGCGAATCGCGGCGCTTTACACCCCGTTAGTCCATTTGGAGGGCTCCTGCGCGCATCTTTGCAGCCCAGGATAAAAGGAAAAACTCTTTTCATTCCTTTGTACGCTGACGCTGAGAGAACCTGAATGTGAGAGTTTGTTTAATGCCGTGTCTCTTATAACTGCCTGTTCAGCACATGTTCCATAATAAAGGTGTTTAGTAACTCACAGCTGTTGATTTTTTTTTTTTTCTGCGGGAAATGTTTCCTTTTTTTTTTCTATGCATATATGCTTTAAAATAAATTAAATCATTTTATAATGATCCTAAAGGCTTTAAATAGCCTAAACATATGTTTAATTAAAGAAGCTTCCTATTCTCAAACTCACTTTGACCACTGGAGGAAGCCTGAAATGTCGCACCCCCTTTATTTATTTTTGCATCGATATTTTTTTTTCCCCCCTCTTCTTTTGTCAAAATGCTGTGTAAGGAGAATTCCCCTGGTTTGCTTTTTTTTTAACGTGAGCAAGGCCACGCCGCTGGTCGTGCAGAATTTGACTGAAGCCTTTTGTTACAGGTAATTACCATCTGAGGCCGGGAGCCGGCTGGGTCTGAGGTGGGAGTTTAACGTGGAGGAGTTGCCACCTAGAGCAATTGACTGGGCATCCGGAATCATTATTCACTTTACAAAAGAGATTCAGATTCTACTGACGTTGTTTTTGGTTACAGAATAAATTTTAAAATTAGTTTCTAATCCAGTAGGAAGGCTGAAAATGAACTCCGCTATCTGCTTTGAGGCTCTTCTCATATTTTTAGCACTTCTGCTTGATCACTGCAACAGAATTTCATTTCAGTCCACTCGGACAATGAGAAGGACGTAATTGTTTTGTCTGAAAAACTCATCCAACTTTAGGAATGTTGGAAAGGCTTTATTGTCCTGAAGATGCACAAAGAGAGTGTCTCAGGAAAATGAATGAAATGTCATCTCATAGATGGAAACTTTGTAAACATAAAATAAAATATTTTCTCTGTTAGAAAAGCTGGCTGAGACTGCAGGGATGGTTTGGGTAGTAAAAGTAAGCAGGAGTAGAAATATGTTTGTGGAACCTTGTTAGTTCTCTGGGCTTGTAAAAGTAGTAAATCTAGGGGAAAATTACAGTGTTAAAAATGCAAGTATTGGTGTTTAATTACTTTACAGAAACAAAACCTGCGGAGAGGAGAACTTGCTTTCTTAGGGAGTTGATTGAACATCTCATTAAGTTTGGGGCTGTTAAAATCCTGTTGTACATAGAAAATAAACAGAGTGGCAAGAGGATCCAGTGATGATCTTGTTGGTTCTGAAAGAGCCGTATGTGCGTATTCTGCGTTAGAAGGTGTCATGGGCTGGTGTTTTGGACAATATTCCTGTATTCGTACCCCAAATGCACGTCCTATGAATTTGCATTGAAATGCATCTCATACCTAAGGCGCTACTGGAGTAACGGGTTTTAATTTGGTTTTAACGGTTTAGATGGCGGAAGGAGCAAATTCTGGAAGGGCAGGCCAAAGTCTGCCCCAATTCTTGTCTTCTAGGGGTCCCGATTGTATTTTCTGGGGCTATGGGATTCAGTAAGAGTTGTTTGTGTTGGGTCCAGGGTGAGTAGTATGAAGAGTGGGACAGGTGATACAGTTCAAGAAGAAGTGTTCTGCGTTTGCATTGAGTAAAAGCATGGGAAGTACAGGAGGGAAAAGCACAGATGCACCAAATGGAAAGAAAGGGAAAGGGAGGATGAAGTGGAAGAAGCAGCTAGAGAGTTTGTTTTCTTGCCTTTCATTTCACTGAGTTGCTTTTGTTGCAAGGAGACAAATCATGACACACTTTGTCTTTCATGATTTTTAACACCCCAGCAAAGGTGATTTAAAAATACATTGAAGTGCCTAAAGGGGTTCAGTATAAGCCCAACTGACTTCAGCGTACAGATCCTGGGAAGCTTATTCCGTGTTCTCTTGCCGTGCAGTCGGCAGCAGGTTTGCAGCAGGGGTTCACCTCTGTCCTGCGGTCCTTGGGAAGGGATGCCTTGGCTCCCCTTTTTGTGGTCCTGGCTCCATTCTTCATGGGAACTCGTGTCTTGAATGACTCGTGCCGGCTGAGTAGTGTAGTGTTTCCTCCCAGGAATCTCTAACGTGTTGTTGCTTTTTCCCTTGAATTCAGGTTGTGAAAGGCCTGACCTATTTATGGAGTCTGAAGATTTTGCACAGGGGTGAGTAACAGATGTTTTCTGTTTTCCAGTGAAACACCGAATTATTTTATTCTAACAACGCCTTCTACAGAGACACTAGACCCTGCTAACATCTGGTTTGATTCCAGTGGAGTAACGCAGAATGAATCTTACTCGTTAGCCTTGCAGATTTTCTGATAAAATATTTTTACTGCTGTTCTCTTTTATTGCCCTCCCTCCTTCTCTGAAAAGGAAAGACTAAAGAGAGAAATTAATTTTATAGAGATATAGATGCTTGGGGTTGCAAACACATACCCAGTGGAAGAATCAGCAAGGAAAATCAGATGTTTGACTGGTATTGAAAATAAAAGGTAGATAATGAAATTTCTTAACGCACTTCAGAAATCTCACGTGATAGCCACAAGTGTTGCAAGAGTTGCAGCTCTCGGAAATTGTGGCCAACCATCATCTAACATGGTCATGAATAATTAAAGAAACCTTAAACCTGCTCGGACATAAGCCATTTTGGGGTTTTGCTGTTTCATGAATCATGGAACCACAGAATGGTTTGGGTTGGAAGGTACCATAAAGATCATCTAGTTGTTTTTTTAAATTCTCATTTATTTCCTGCTTTTTAATGCTGTTACATTTTGTTTAAAAAAAAAAAAAAATTGTCCATTGTGGTAAGTTAATTCAGATAACACTAGAACTTTCAAGAACAATATCAGTTCTGGAAACAGTGGAAAATGCTGGTTAAAGAACAAAGAAGCGCTTTCCCCTACACCAGAACCACCATCCCCCCCCCATCCCCCCAAAAAAAAAGAAAAAAAGAAAAAGAAAGAGAAACTCATTACATTTATAATGTTTCTAAAGTGTCGGAAAGTAACTGCTCTGGTTCCTAATGGTGCTAACACTACTGTTTAATTTAACCCATCTGCTCCCCAGCCCCAGTGCACAGTTGGAGCGTGCAGTAACCGGCGTCATTCGTGATTGAAAGAGAAAAGTAGAGAGACACGTAGAAAATTTTAAGTTGCAAACCAAATAAGTAAGATCATTTCTTCTGGGGTGCTTAGTTTTGGAGTGGCTGGGAAGGAGACGGGAGGCTGGGGCAGGGCGGTGAGACACGCCTGGGCTGGGCGCCCGGTGTCCTGGTGTGATCGGTGCGAGGTGTTGGGCACCGCCGCAGTCATCCAGAAATCTGTGCTCGGGGTGGGAGTAAGAAGCTAATAGGAGACACTAATTACTATGTGTGGAGGTCCTGCACCTCCTTGGAGCTTAGGCTCAGCCTGTCCTGAGGCTTTGGTGGAGAGTTTGTTTGTAGTGGAGGAGGAGATTGGTCCTTCCTTTGTGGAATCCCAGGATGGTTTGGGTTGGAAGGGACCTTCCAGCCCACCCAGTGCCACCCCCTGCCATGGGCAGGGACACCTCCCACCAGCCCAGGGTGCCCAAAGCCTCATCCAGCCTGGCCTTGAACCCCTCCAGGAATGGGGCATCCAAAGCTTCTCTGGGCAACCTGGGCCACTGCCTCACTGGTCCTTGCCATGCTTTCGTAACACCCCAAAAGAAAAAGCAGATTCAAATTTATTTTTTCATTAAAGATTCTGGCCACCTACCAAATGGGATTTGGAAAGACCATTGTGATCGGGCAGAAATCCTATAGCTGTAACATTTGGTTTTTCTTCTGCTGTAAATTTAGAACCTGGTCTGATTTTTGCTTTCTCAGTAAAAAAAAAAAAAAAAAAAAAAAAAAAAAATCTCCCTTTCTACATGAGTTTCATTGCCTTGATTGAAGAGCAGCTCTGAGGTTTTGGTGAATTATGTATGGTCCTTGTTATGGTCTAAAGAAAAGCGCAGCAACTGATTTTTCATCCCACTTCAGACTTTTCTGGCCTTGGTCTGTTGCTGGATTGACCAAGGAGAGCACAGCACCGCAAAACACCGTGGAGGGGATGACAGCATTCCACTGGGTTGGTTTCAGACTCCGTGCCTGTTTTTAGGATGCAGAACATGCCTCTGTACCTCTGTATCTTAAAAATGGGTACGGAGTAACGCAACGCGAGGAAGATACCTGTTTCTCAAAGTAGCATCCTTCAGCTGGTTACTGGTTTTAACACATCAGAGGTAAAAAAAAGCAAATTTAACCCCAGTGCCTTGCTGTCACGTGCCAAGCAGACCACGCAGGAGGCTGGCGTAGGCTGAAAAGTCAAGAATTTCCACTGTGGTGCTAAGGAAGGTGGAGAAGCCGTGTAATGCCACGCGGGCAAATGCGTGTGGATTAAAGCGAAGGAGACTAACAATGAGAAAGTCTTTTATTCCAGATCAGACATTTCAACAAATATTACAGCTTAACTTCAAAACAAACCTTGCAACTAATGAGGTGATAGCCGTGCATATTAATAAACCCAGAGCTGGAGTCGTCGTCATCACACCCACATCAAACATAAACATGAGATTAACACCTACCCCACTTCTTTGGAAGATGTGAGAATGTCCCAATGATAAGTGTGCTCTTTTCCCCAGAGGATAAGAAGTAGAAATGGAAGGGTAATGAGAAATTAACTTCGATTTAAAACAGAATTAGCAATTAAACAAGTCTAATCATGTACAAAGTCAAAGTTTGTATAAAGACGAACTGAAATCTGTTAAGTTCAAGAATAAGTATAGACCGTGTGCGTTTTATCTGGCACGTTCTCCTCCTTATTAAAAGAAATGTAGGAAATCAGTGTTACCTGCTTGTGGTTAATTGTACCAGCCTCTGTTTGTATGCGTGGCACTGGGGGCCACGGTTTGAGCGCCTTGGTTTCTGGTAGGTTTGATATTTGTGTCAGAATTTTGGTGGTGGTTTCTGGTTGGTGATGGGCGAGGCTGAGCGGAGTGGAGGATCTGGAGACCTTCCTGGGCTGTTGGTTGCGTGGCTGGCTGTGGCAGAAGGGAGGTTTGCGCATCACTCAGACCATCTCTTTTTTCCCCCTGGGATGTTCCCTTAGAAGGAGATTCACATCCTGTTTGTTTGAGCTGAGGAGCTGGTTGGCAGGGACAGGCAGGATGGGGTGCTGAGCGTTCCCATCTTTGCAGCAGGACCTGTGGTTTGCTGAGGATCTCGCCAAAGGTGTCCCCAGCAGCCTGCTTGGCTGCCCCCTCCCTCTTTTTAGCTTGGTGAGGAATAACCAGCATTAGTGCCACACGTAACGAAGCACAAACAAAGATACCAGGGCGTGTGTATTTATACACATACATCCTTACGTGTATGTCTGTAGAGCTAAATGCACACGTGCGCGCTCACGGACTGCTCAGGCTTATTTAAAAAAAAAATTCCTGGCCTCTGCAAAAACATGCCGATGAGGTCGTTGTGGCAAGAAAATATTTTCATTCTTCCAACAGTACCATTCTGTGAGCCGGATGCAGCTAGAACTGTGCTTTTGTAGCTCGTGGCTCCCTTGAACTTAAAGTATTGTGGGTTTATATTTTTAAAAGACAGAAAAAGTCAAGAGACAGCTTTGAAAAATCTGGGGTTGTATTTTTCCCCGCAATCATTAGTCAGTTTGCGCTTCAATAAGACGACTGAAATGTTCAGTGTTGAAAACCCGGCACCTCTGACAGTTGTGTTTGCTGGTGAGTAAGAGCTTGCAGGTCCCCGTTATTTGCAGAGAGGTGAAACGACTTCGGCAGATACATCATCCAGAGGACTTGTTCATCCTCCGTAATGACGCTTCATAGAAATCATTTGTATTAAGCAAGCACTGGTAACGGGAGCATAATGACCCCTTTTGGCTCTTGTTTAAATTCTTTCACTTCTAAACAGTAATATTAATCACAAGCAGATGGTGCAGAACATTATTTATGCACATTTGTTTTCCAAAAACCAAAAAATGGTTAACCCCTTAGCTGGAGTGGTTTCTGAAACAGAAAGGCTAATTTACCGATTGCGTGATTTTTCTCCCCACTTTCAGTGGGAGATATTTTATGAAGTGACGTTTTTGTCTAGGATTGTGACTTTTTCTTTTTTTTTTCTTAAGGAAACTAATGCAACTGTTGGAATTCACAGCAAATATTTGCTTCAATCCCCCATTTGCAGGATTTAAATTCCACTGCAAGGGCAGATCGTATTTGTTTGCAGCGGTGCTTGTTTGGCTGCAGGGTGCTCAGCAGAATCCCCAACCTGCATGGGCTGATCACCAATTGCTTTTTTACTTTCAGAATTCTTTTTTTTTAATGTCTGTTTGTGGAATGATTTCGGTCTCAAGCAACACTTAATGGATGACAGATTTTTTTTTTTTTTTTAATCCTATCCCTTAGTGTCACAGGGGAGGTGGGCTCTGCAGATCCCTGGTGACACAAAGTGATGGGAGGATGGAGCCTTGGCTCTTCCTCGGTGGGAGCTGAGCATCTCTGCTGGGCCAGGGGACAAATGTGACAAATGTGACGTGGTTGTTTCCTCTGGTGGGTCGTGTTAAGGGAACAAGGACTTGTGGGATGCACTTGGAGAACATCTTGCCTTTTCCTCTGCACTCATGAAGTGGTTGAGTCCTTAGAGAAGGAAAATTTGCTTATGAGCATCTTGCCTCATCATAATTTTCCATGAGGTCGTAGTGTTTCACACTCGGAGACGTCTTCTGCCTTCCCAAACCCTCCACTCCACTCCGAGGGAACAGATTTTTTTAATTGTCAATAAATAATGCAGTTGAATCCGGTCTTGATCCCACCAGCCTATTTCCAGCCGTACTGCACCAAAATGTTTTCTTGCCCATTTGGTTATTAATTATTTTTTGTTACATCCTTTGAAGTTAAGAGCCTCTTGTTAGACTGCAGGGCTTTTTTTTGAAGTATTAGTGCTGTGAACGGCTGGACTCACGGTGCAGAGCCTCGGTACTTTCTGCATGTGTATTTGCATCTCAGTTCGTTACAATTCAGCGCCAGCCTGGTAACGAGGCAGCTCTCCTGGCTGCTGTATTTTTAGAAAGAAGGTTAAACAGGATTACTGTGCAACTCGCTGCTCTTCTCGGGATTCAGGATAGAGCCGACCGATGTGCCGTGTCTGCTTCGATTTAGCAAAGTCACTGGGCTCCGGAGAGGAGCGTGCTGCTCAGCAGGTTGCCACGAGCAAATATTTGAGTCTTCTTGAAGTTTGAGGTAGAAAATATATTCCTGAAATGGGAACGTATGGGAGATTTTGGGACTGCCTGGGCTGCTCTGTAGCGGTGTTTTGTCTCTTTACCTAAGGCTGGGGAATAGGTAAAAATCCATCAAAATGCGGCACACGGATTGAATTCCTAAAGCTGAAATGGAATGGGGATGCACAAAGGGAGCCTGGCGATGCCGCAACGCGATGGAGACGCTCGTGACTCATTTTTCTCTTGGCTTTGGGGGGAAGTTGCCAAACATACCGGCGGTATTGATACCTAACCTAAAATGTACAGACCCACTTAAACTCCAGATCGTACCATTGAATGCTCCGCTTTTAAAACTGGATTTTTAGCTCAAATATAGGAAAGCATTTAATCAGCTTGTTAATTGAGGTTATACATTTCTGCATTACAGAGACGAATTAAGCGAGCTACTGTGGCACCAGGAAACATCTGCTAAAGAAAGGCAAACTTAATGATAAACAAAATTAGGTTCTTCTCTAGTTGGGTTTCATCCATCTGCACCCAACTAGTGCTCTCTTTTAAAGAAGGCAAAGATCCAAGCTATTGCTTTTAATCCATTCTGACAGAAGAAAGCAGTGATTAGGCAAAGCCCCTCTGCTCTAATCTTCCCAAGTTTAAGCCAGGCCATAACGTGCACCTTATGCTTTCCGACTGGCATCCCTGGGGCAGAAGGATGCTTGATGTTTCCTGAGCTGGATGTTGAGCAGTTTATTCACACATCGATTTTACAGTAGGCAGCAGGATCATACCGACTCCTTTCCACATCGGAGGGGGGCAGCATTAAGATCTCTGCACTGACAATCTGCCTTTACGACGCACATTGGTGTTTTATTTGCTGGAGTGGGATTAGTGATCATGTTAAGGCGTTGCTGGCAGTTAACGTCTGTGAAATATTCAGTTCTGCTTTCGTCACTACGTGGGATGGAGGAAGGGCTGGTAGAGGGAGGCAGGGTTCATTGCAGTGGTAGAGGACAAAGTGGCAGGGTTGGGGTGAACCCCAAAAGGTCAGCCCAGACAGCTCTTGGTATGAAAACACCGTTCGTGTTCACTGATTGCTTGTTCCTGAATTGTCCAGTGTTGGAGTTTGTTCCCTCTCTGCCATTTCCCCTTCGTGCTCCAGCCGTGCTCCAGGCAGTTGTTCAACCCTATCTTTATGCAGTTGGTTAATCCCCATCTCAACGTTGTGTTTCCACTTGGCCCTGTTGAGTTTCATCTTATTTTTTTCAGTCTCATTTTCCAATTTGTCAAAATCACTTTGAATTGTAGGTCCCATCCTTCAGTGCACTTGCTGTCCCTCCCAGCCTGGTGTCACCTGCAGGCTTGGCCTTGGTGTTAAGGGTCTTTTCCAACCCACACGATTCTGTGGTTTAATAACATGGATTATGGGTATTGAAGAGGTACAGGTATGATGTTATCTGTGATACTGACCGTTACAAACCAGAAGTTGCATTTGAAATGTATCCTTGAAATGTTCCCTATGAAAATCTATCATGCCAATATCCATGATGATCTCTGTATATACAATAATATAATATCATGATATAATAATATAGAATTGTAGAATGGTTTGGGTTGGAAAGGACCTTAAAGATCATCGAGTTCCAATATATAGATCAACTAATAATAATATAGATAGGATAATATAGATAAAATCCAATTTTGTTCCCCGACAGATGTGAAGCCGTCTAACATGCTGGTGAACACGCGAGGCCAGGTGAAGCTGTGTGACTTTGGGGTCAGCACGCAGGTAATTCCCCCTTTCGCTATCCACCCCTTGGCTTTGGAACATCCACATCACCTGGCTGCCGGGCAGGCAGCCCCCCAGCAAGCTCCCCTCTGCGGGGACAGCCCCATTCATTTGGAATCTCCGGGTGACTTTTCTTCATCTGAATATGATTGTTCATTGTTTAATGACAGTAAAAACTGCTGATATTGTAATTACTACTTACGAATAGCAAACTTCATTGATATGCAGCTTTGCTATGAAAGCGTTTTGGCCAGACAAAAGGGAGGGCAGAGCGAGAGATGCGCCTGGGGAGCCCAACTGGCCCACAATAAAAATTAATATTGGGATCTAACAATAGTGGTGGGCTTTTACAATGTGCAGCACAAATTTTAATTAATTTCCATTTTGGGCCTCCCTGGAGTACTTCTCTGAGAGTGACCCATGAGCTTGCTGGGATGTTGATTTGAATTTCAGCACCTTTACTCTCAGCCAAACACCAGGACCAAAGAGAAGGTCAGCCTCCTATTATAAGTTGTCAGAATCTGTTGTCCCTCCAGCCTATTTAGCGCTCGGCGCATTCAGGGGATGAATGTGGCTTTATTCGCATCTTGAGCCAGCTGACGGAAAAATGAGCGCGTTCAATCCGACTTCAAATTGACTTTTTATATCAGACTGGTTTGGGGTACTAAAGCGCTAAGCATCCTGTTTAACAGAATTGTTTAAGGTTATCTGCCATAAACTGCAATGCAGCACTTGTTTAAATTGGAACTCTCGTTCCCAACAAAAGAGAGATTTAATCATTTTTAATGCCTTCGCAGATAAATTTCTTCCCTTTTACATAATTTTTCGTTGATTTATAGGAATGATGATTGTAGGTTAAATGAGGAATAATTGCCCATTTTATTTCCACATTATCTTTATATTGTTCTAACAGCCTGTTTTGTCTGATAGCTGGTGAATTCTATAGCCAAGACGTATGTTGGAACAAATGCTTATATGGCGGTAAGTGGATTTATGCAGGAATAACATTTAAATAGAAGTGTTTGTTCACAGTCTTGTTCTGTCTAATGCAAGATATCTTCTAAATCAATTCTCAAACTTCATCTCTGCCCATTCCCAGCGTAAGCTGTGTTTTAATTGTGCGTGCCACAAAACCCTTGTACTGCCTCCCAGACCCGCTCCCTCCCTATGGAGCAGTGATACTGGGAAAGTCTCCATTTCATGTATTTTTGCCTTTAATGCATTGTAACAACTGGGAACAAAGAAGAGAGCCAGTTCAACAGTTAAAAAGCAGTTTTCTGCTGGTAGCCTGCAGTTTTTGCAGACCACGGACGGTCCGATGGTGTCCACGGTTTGGGAACCGCTGCTCTGAGCCTGCGGTTGGGCAAAGCGTTGAAACCTGTGCAGGGTCTCGTGGGTTTCTTGATGCCCAAACACCTCTGTGGCTGTTTGTCATGGGAAGCTGCCATGGAAATGTGAAGCTAAAAATATTTGGACTACTAATATGAGGGCATTAAATGGCATGTTGGTAGCATACGTATCAGGTCATTGATACATTTCGCTTGCCTATATAAATGTTGGTCAAAATACTTGTTACGATGAGACTACTTTTGTCCTTTTTCTGTTTGTTAAAACATGAATTCCCATCATTTTTAGATCAAAGCAAGCCATTGCTGAGGGTGTATCATGTGGAGGAACGCTGGTGCTGTTAGGGTCGGGTTTAGTGGTTCCAGCTGACCCAACAATGGCGTGGGGTGTTGGTGTCGTTGAGACTAACCTGGTGACGAGAGCCAGTCTGAAAGTAAACCACAACAGTTAGCGTGTGTTTTCCATTAGATCAATCTGATTAATTTCAGATTTAACCGATATGCAAACTTAAATGCTTCAGTTTAGAGCAATATATTAACTGTTGTCTTTTTTTTTTTTTTTTTTTGGCCATAAATTCTTTTAGCAAACTACGTATCTGGTAATATTAACGAAGAAAAAATAAGTGTTCAGCTTGTTTAAAAAAAAAAAAGAAAAAAAGGTGAAAACAATACAAAGTGGTTGATACTTGTGTTTTTCAAACCTCAGACAACAGGAGAGAGAAATCCATGACCTTTAATTGCTTTCAGGTGTTTTTTTCTTACTTTCTTGTAAGAAGAAAGCAGGCCAGGGTGTCCATTTATTTGCTAAGTGCTTTTCTAGTCAAGGTGTACGCATTATGTGGCTTCTGAAAGACTCATGTCACCTCCTAGAAATACTTGGGCTATCCTGTGTCATCAGAATATTATGTGCGGAAAAATGTTGGGTTTTTTAAAAAAAAAAAAAAAAAGAGAGAGGAAAAAAAAAATCTGGTCTTCTATATTACCATTTTTGCTAGTAGCCCTGCTGATTTCTGTGCCTCCATTTTCTATAAGAACTGGAAAATAGCGATTCAGACAAATAAACAGCTTCTAATTAATCAACTTTTCCAACTCAGCTGTTACTCTTTGCGTGGTCTTAAGCAGGTCTGAGAATTAGGTTGTATTATGCTTTTAGTGTACAAATTCAAGATTACTGTTCTCTTTCCCAGGTGTACATTAAATAAATTACTTTTTTTTTCCGTATTGTTTATGGATGTATGTGATGCATTCATCTATTAATTGAAAAAAGAGAAGTTTAAGCTAAATTGTACTTGTTCCAATTCCGTGTGTTAAAATTATTTTGCTTGCTGAATGAGTCGTGTGTCATCAAATTTATAGTCTGGTCACCAAAAAATAATGAAGGTCATAAGCTTTGGTTTGGCTACGTGGCAGACTGAGTGAATTTGAAACTGTTTTTAAAAATTGAAGTTTCTGTTTAAAATAGGAAAAATTGCTTTTTTAATTGAGAAATTTAAATTTCCAACAAGAGTACATTTTCTGTAAAATCACCACTTTATACATAAAAAAAAATTCTGGATGAAAAAAGTAATCAGTTGTAGAAATTTTTAAAATAAAATATTTTTGAGCTATATATCCCTAGGATAATCCCTGTGTTGCACACTTGACTTAATGCACGTGTTCTTTTCATCCTTCTTTTCCAAATTCTTAAATTCATATGACTGGACTTTTTGTTCAAGTGTGCAAACGATTTCCTTGCCACTGTCTGCTGCAAATACATAACATCTAAAGAAAAGTTGCTGTTGAAATCTGGAGCTGTTCTAGTGGAAGAGTAACCGATTTAATATCGCTTGCTTTGAATTATGCATCTGATTTGGCAGCTCAGGAGAGGCCAGGGTCCCATCTGCACTAAAAAAATCGGCGAGTGTTATCATCGAGCCAGGAGTGCAGGGTCTGCCGGTGTATGCTTTTGGGTGCATACCTGCATCTCTCTGAGGATCTTTGTCAGTATAAAAGGATGCTTAAAAATCGTATCCCTATATGATGCTATTGCAGACGTTTCAGAGATACGCTGACCTAGGCTAATTAGACTTAATGAACTTAAAAAAAAAATAAAATTAGGGGTAAGTGTTCAGCTCAAAATAAATGAGGCTCAGTCAAAAAGATGTAGTTCCAGTTACATTCCAGGATGGTTTTTTAGGTTATAGCAGTTGTGGAAGGCTCTCCTTAAAGATAACTTGGGCAGCCTGGTGTTTTATTATTTAACGTTCATGCTGCGATAAAAGCTCCTGACCTGGGATTCGCAGTGTAAAGTGAACATCCGAAAACACATTGGACTGGCACTAATTTGGGAGTTTGTTTTCTAAAAAAAAAAAAGGTCTCTGGATTATTAAAGACTGAAAATACAGGCAGTGTGTCGTAGGTGGTTGGGCTAGACAGGTGCATTAACAGCACAGTGGGGAGAGAAGTCTCATGGAGCCTTTTATTGTTACATTTCATGCTGTACTTGACCTTGGAAATGCTTAAATTGTAGCTTTCAAGTAAAAACTAGCGGTGATATTTTACAGCACTCTATTTCATGAGGCATTAAACTTGCTATTAATAGTTTGGAGCAAAGTCTTTTTTTTTTTTCTATAGGTCAAAAATGAAATTAAAAAGCATATAAAATAAAATTGCCGGCATGTGACTTCATCGGTTCCTTGGGCTTCAGTAACTTTGCTTTTTAAACCATGGTTGCTCCCCAACCCCTTGACTCAACGTGAGGGGTCTGTTTTCCTGGCGTCCCCTGGACCTTGCCTGGGCTCAGCAGTAGGTGTGTGTACCATTGGACCTGGTACCACGCTGCATGCGGGCACGCCATCGGCTTTTTGTTGGATAAACCGACCCAAGCACAAACGCTAAGGCCAACTTTAGAAGATCAGAGCAATGCACGGCCACGAGCCTGAACACAGCCAAGTCCTTTCCTCTTCCAGAAGAGGTAAAAAATAAAAGTCAGTCATGTTTGAAGAGTGGATTTGCTCGGTGCCAGGTTAGCTGGTGAGCTTTGAGCTTCTTTGCGTTTTCATAGAATCATAGGATGGTTTGGGTTGGAAGGGACCATAAAGATTATGTAGTTCCAACGGATCGTCTAGTTCCAACCCTCCTGCCATTGTCTCACTTTATTTGTTTGCCCTGGGCTAGCTTGTGTGGGATAAGTACGTATCGTAGTTTGCTGGACTCAAGAAGATGTTTCTTTCCATCTCTTTGCAGCCTGAGCGGATTTCGGGAGAACAGTACGGGATTCATTCGGACGTTTGGAGTCTAGGGATTTCCTTCATGGAGGTACGCAGATGTCGATCGGTTTCCTGTGCACATTGCAAGAACCCAATGAAATCTAATATGAAAATATTTTCATGTGGTCTTTGTATACTCTTTTCTGTATGCATGCTTTGAACTATTGCTGAATATCTGGGCTGTATTTAGAATGGGGTTGTTCTTACCATGCTCGATTCGGTTCGACATAAAGAGCCTCTCTGCAAACCCTGGAACAGTCTTAAACCCTCTGTTAGGACTTTGCGTGAGAGGAAGGAGTAGCACCTGGTCCGTGAGTGCCGCAACACCTCTGGGACTGCAGGTGACAATATTTCTGTATTGCCTCTTCCCAGGCCAGGACCAAGTGGGCTGTTATTTGGGTTAAAATAACATTTTGCAGATTCAAGGTTTGAGCTGGTTCATGGCCTTGCAGAATCTTTGCAGAAAGATTTGCACAGTGATGTGAGTCTCTCTCCCTGGGTGATGAAATGAAGTGTTGGGATTTAAGTGTTCACGAGGGCTTTTAGAAAGATTTCTCACAAATGTGGTTTCAAGCAGGAGAAATTCTTATCCAAATGGAGCAGTTTAAAGAGGATGTGGTCGTAATTGCAGTCGTTCAGGAGAACACACGGTGGTTTTTTCAGCTTAGGGTTCATCAGATGTTTTAAGAAACCTGAATTTCAATGACTTCATAAAAATGGATTATTCTTTGTAGGAAAGATAACCTAGAGTATGTGACTGAGTAGAAATACCTGTGTGATCTTGACCAATAAAACCAGACCTGGCTTGGTCTGCTCTGGGAGAAGGGCCAGGCAACTCTGGTCTGGTGGTGCCAGAAGGTTGTGGTCACGGAGCATTTCTCATGCTGGCCCAGGCTGACCACAAACACGTGAGCTGCGGTCGGAAAACCTTGTAGCCTTGACAGCTCAAGCAATGAGCTCTCAAAAGACTTCTTCAACTCAAGGACAGTCCCATGAAAGAAATTCCCCCAGCTCGGAGCAGTTGTTTCTTCTTTTGACAACAGTTCATTCAAACCATCGGGGACTTGCATCATCTTTCTTGAATGGGATATGATTAACTGAAAAATATAGGTGCCGTTCCCTTCTCTTTTGGTATGATATGGTTCATGATTCTATGGTGGTGAGACACTGGCCCAGGTTGCCCAGGGAAGCTGTGGATGCCCCATCCCTGGAGGGGTTCAAGGCCAGGCTGGATGAGGCTTTGGGCAACATGGGCTGGTGGGAGGTGTCCCTGCCCATGGCAGGGGGTTGGAACTTGATGATCTTTAAGGTCCTTTCCAACCCAAACCATCCTGGGATTCTATGATATAGTATCCTTAAGGTGAAGCTAAATACACTTTTTGGTGAAGTGCAACTCATGTTTTTAGCAGATTAGATGGAAGTTAAGTAGTCTTGGTGCTGGCAAATCTAGGCAAATTTCCCGTTTTGTAGCCTGAAATTTAACCGAGACTATCATTTTGTTTTCAAGCAATAAATTCCATGCTAAATCAGTTTTATCCTAAACAAAGATACTTAATCCTGAGTCATTGCGTTCAGATCTTATAGATCTTTTGCGGCGTCTGAGTGAAGCTAACTCTGAGTTGCAATAATGACGTGCTTTAACGTGTCACAGGGGATGCCGTTCTCTTGATTTGTTTTACTGCAAGTTTTAACGGTTTGTGATGCTGGAGAGCCCTCAGAATTTTGGGAGAGATACAGAACATACTCACACACTCTGTGAATGAACCTAGCCAACACAGGGCTAGAACAAGATTGTGTCACATCAAGGCTTGACCGTGGTGGTCTTCCTGATCCACGGTGGAGTAGAGTGATATAAATGCAGAATTCCTATTGAGCAAGCATTTATGAGTTCCTTTGCTGAATATGAAATGTATGTTGATGTGCAGCAGCAATCTGATGCTCCACCATGTAGACCAAGATATTTGGAGTGTGGGATTATTAGTAGGTGACCTGTCTGGCCATGAATTTGATTAGAAAGGTTGTATTTCGCATTCTATTAGCCAACATTAGGCAAACTCCTTTCATTTCCATTTACTCTCCTCTTTTAAACCTTCTCAACTTTTTTTTCTTTTTTCTCCCTCACTTTCCACGAGTGCCTTCCGAACCAGATGTACAAAAACCAATTTGGTTCTGTGTGCTTTGTTAATTGGTATGTCATCTGGTCCTCCGAGACCTCTCTTCAACATGATCGCTGTTTTATTGAAGTGGTTTGAGTGATGTGTTAAATGATGAAAACAAGGACAGCGGCTTAGAAAAATGTCTCAGAAAAGGTGAAGAAGATGCTCAAAGAGCCACACAAGGTCACTGTCATTAAAGTAACACTGTATTGACAGGGGGATTGGGAGTGGAGACACCCAGGCTTTTGTTGATGGAACTGTTAAAAAGGGAAGTTAGCATTTGCTGTAGGATTTTAAAATCATCTCCACTTAGTAGTGTAGTACTCCAATGGCACGTCGGACCAAGTATGCAAGGACTGTTCTGACATAAGATAACATAAAACAGCAGCTAAGTCAATCTTCTCATTTTCTTTAATATTCTTCTGAGCCTTTAAAATATCTTGAATTTCTTTTCTACAAAGCTGTGTGTAATGGGGAGGTGAACTGTTGCCTTTGAAGGTTGGGAAAACTGCCCCAAAGACTTGCTGGTGGAGTTTGAAAAGGATTAGAGGTGGGTCCCGCTAGGTTTTGAGAGATGGTGAGCGTTCCTGTGCCTTTTGAAGAAAGATGTGTCTGAGGGTTCTCAGTCTTCCCTTTGCCAAAAATAAAAAATAAATTAAAAATTAAAGAAAAAAAAATAATAAATGCTGCTAGCTTTTAAAATTATTATTCTTTCATTTTTTTTGGAGTTTGCTTTCCTTTCTTCAGGATTTTTTGAAGTGAATTCAGTTTAATACATAATCTGTAAAATTGTTCAAAAATGTTTCATCACAAATAGTTTGTGTGTTTTCATAGGTGTTCAGATGTTTTATTTAGGTGCTCTTGGGTTGACAAAGCAAGTTCAATTTAAACCAGTGACATTGCTGTCACTCCACTGAAGTCTGCGTCAGCATTTTCACTATAAAAGCTGTTTTTCAGGGGTTTATAACTCAGTCATAAAACACACTCCAGGCTGTCTGGGCTGCATCCGAGTGCTCTGTAACCGACTCAGCTCCCTCCAAGAGCCGTACCCTGCACGGGAGGATGAATTAGATTGCCCAAAATTTCTTATTACTCTTTGCTATGGCTCTCATCCTACCTTGCACAGCTGCTGTCTGAAAGTGAACTTCAAAGCATCCAAAATGGGATGAAAATACACCTTGTTGGCGTTTAATAGGCAGCATTTTCCCCGTGGTACATCTTTTTGTGGAGATGTTTGAGGAGCGGGTGTATTACTGTCATAGAATCCCAGAAGGGTTTGGGTTGGAAGGGACCTTAGAGATCATCTAGGTCCAACCCCCCTGCCATGGGCAGGGACACCTCCCACCAGCCCAGGTTGCTCAAGGTCAACCTTCAGCTCAAACCTGTCACCTTCGGCTGAGCCTCTTCTCCTGGGATCAGGGTCTGCAGTAGGAGAGAAGCTGGATGAGAAGAGCTCTGGTGGGACCCTGTAGGGCTGGTGCGTTCTTGGGTCTTCCTGCTTCCAGGAGGTTGCTTCTTGGTTTTCTCCTGGATTTTACCACCTCCGAGCTGCCTGCTGAGGAGCACTGGCATGCCCTCAAGACATTCCTGAGGTCCAGAGTCTCCTACACGTCATGAGGAGAGGTGGTAGGTGAGGAGAAGGGAGTTTGGGGAAGGGGATGGGATAGAGTTATGATCCCAGCTGGTCATTGAGGCTTGCAGGTCTTTGTCGGAAGATCCAGGGCTCGCTTTATCTGCAGATAGAATTGGTCATAATATCGGACATAATGGTTGGTCTTTCATCGATTTTGTGCCCTTGCCTAAACAATAGCAGGTTGCCAGATGTGGGGGGAAATCTGAGACCCAAAGCTTGGTGGTACAGCAGAATTTTCTGTAGTAACACTGGAGACTTGGTGAAGGTTTGATGGAAAGGGGAACGATCATGATGAATGTCTGTGTGACTGCTGGACATGGACACGGACCGTGTGGTGACGTACAGTGTCGAGAGCTACACTGAGTAGAGGCAGGAGGAGTATTAATTAAAGTAGCCCATTAGAAGATATCAAGGGTCAAGCCTAAATGGGAAATGAGAATTTGCATTTCGTCTCTGTGCAGAGCAGGACTCTTGATATTGCAACAAAATACTTGGGTGAAGTGAGGCGTCTCCAATCAAGGGACAGTTCTTACTGGACCTGTCCTTGCTTTTTGTGTGCTTGGAATGAGCAGAATTTTATTCTGCATCTTTAAACTGGAGAGACTGGGAAAGACCTTGCCATGGTGATGCTGCAGGTGCTGGCAGAGCTGCTGGGAACAGCTCGTAGCAGAAGGTGTGGGGTCATCACTGAGCAAACACATGGAGAGTATGATTTCCCTGTTCCCACACTGAGAATTCAAGAAGTTCTTCAATTAATGCAGTAGATGGATTTGAGCACATTCCTGAAAAGGAACCAACTTTATGGAAAAAATATTTTATTTCCAGCCTTTTTCTGGTTTTGTGGAATATGGATGAGAGCAGACTCATGCCTTGAGCCCTTGGCAGCTTGGACCGGTGATAATTGCATAGGTGTGACTGTTTGGTAACAGGCATCTTTCATTTGTGATTAAGGAAAGCAAGAAAATAAAAGTGGTTTTTTTGCAATGAGCCTCACCCTGTTGCTCTGTATTTTTAAGGACTGTAGCAACGTGGTGTTCGTCGGTTGGATGGACAAATCCATCGTGAGCGGCTGTAACACAGAATTTTGCTCAATAGCTTAAACTGTCCTTATTGTAGAGTATTTATGTAGTTTTAATCATTCTGTACAGAACGATGCATTTCGAAAATTTGTTCTTAGGAAAAAGCTGGTCTTGATTTTTTATTATTTTTTTCCCTTGAGCTATTGTGAGCAATTTCTCCAAGCAGTGGCCGTTAGCTCCG